TGATGTCATCGTAGAAGCTGAGGCCAATAAAGCTGCAGGGAAGTATGACAATGTCTCTATTGACAACCAGATTGACTTTTATAGAAAGGAGGGTTTAACACCATACTCGAAGGCTAAGCTTCCAATAACTAGTGGTAAGCCCCTGTAACATCTGTTTGCTTGCTTTTGATCTCCTTTTCCAAATAAAGTTTTAGTTTTGTGTTGCCCATTGCATATCTGCAGATGTTCCTGAAGGATGCGTAATTATACGGGAACACATTCCTATTACCAATCTCTTCACCTGTCTGTGGTTCAATGAAGTTGATCGTTTTACTTCCAGGGATCAGTTGAGCTTTTCAACTGTGAGGGACAAAATCATGGCTAAAGCTAATTGGACCATCAACATGTTTTTGGATTGTGAGCGCAGAAATTTTGTGATACAGGTATTCTTTCTCCTTCCTTTTCTTATCATTTTAGTTTCTGCAAGAAATTTGCACCTCTGTTGTCTTCCAAGAAAAGTATTGCATTTCTTTTCTTCATATTTTGTCCAGGGATCCCTCTTCCATCTTTATGAAAGGAGTTGATAATTGTTCTATCAGTATTTTGTTCCCCTTTTGAAGACATTAAAAATAATGCTTTCTGCACTTATTATTATTATTTTTTATCTTTTTACTGGAATAGTAGTTTGAGAATCCAAAGTTTTATAGGCATATCACAGAGATTTATTGGAGAGATGGCCACCACCTTTGCCACGAGCTAGAGTTTATTCTCCCCCAAGTTCTGTTCGTTATAACACACCCACTGAAACATCAAGGAAGAAAAGCCCCGTTAAACGGGTAAGAGGAGGTAAGAAGCCGGGATCTAGACGGCATCGGAAAGTTGTTGCTGGAAATAGGGATAATCCTTTACTTCGATTACTTTCTCCGTAGGTTTTTATGCAAAGAAAAGATACTTCTATTCTTTGTCTCAATTCTTTGAAAGGGATAGGATGATTTTGGTAGATATTGGTAGCATATTCAACAAAGATGAGTTTTTTTTGAAAGTGTCAGATATTTGATCACTTTCAATGTATATTTCTTGACACGAACTCTAGGGTCAGTCGTTTTTCTCTTGATCGTCGAGCTCTCCTGTAATTATCTGCTTCAAGCAGTCTGAGGAAATGCCTTATTCAAGGATGAACTACTTTTATTCGTTTATGATCAGCATTGATGAATTCTTTTACCCATCTGGATCTGGATGGTTGTCTTCTAGCAGGTGATGACAGAATTTTCATACCACCAGACCCAGTGAAACAGAAAATGCACGTCCATATTTGATTTCGTTTGAGTATCCGCCTATTTTGGTCGTTACTTGCGAGCTTGAGCTTGGTTATTCTTTATTTGGTTAGACTGAGAACAGGGTAGTTTTAAATTTGGACATGGCTTGAATATAAAGTGGAGGAGTTTTTGTATGATAAACAATGCTAATGTGATCTCTAAGGAACTGGCCTTGTAAGCACTGCAGCTGTAGACCTGTATTTTACATCTAATTCAAGAGTCATTCAAAATGAGCTGGTTCTGAGTTTCTGATTCGAAAGCGTGATTCTTATTTTCAGTACTGCTACTTGATCCAGTCCTCTAGAGAACCTGCCGAAGCATGCAGGTTTATGAAAAGATAAACCAAATAATGGAAATGAAAACTCATATATACGGACAAAACCTCAGTACTTCGTACCTGTCCTGAAATTATTTGATTTTATCTTTGTGTAAGCAACTAGCCGGCAGCCATATTTAAAGCTGTGGGAGTGCATTATTGAACAGCTAACGCAAAGCCATGACCTCATGTTGATGGCCCTCACCAATCATTCAATACGGGCGCGTATTACAACGCAAAGTCGCAGACATGAATTTTCGTTTGCTTCAGTCAAATTTACGTATGCAGCTAAAAGGTTTACGACTGAATTGTTTTTTATTCATTCAGAGTTTGATGAGACTGTTGCAATTTTGGTAATGAAAACAAGAAAGTAGAGATAAATACAAAGAACGGACGGGGAAGCTCTTACATATGCATGCGTTTGCTTGATGCATAAAGGGATTTCCCAGACGGTATGAAGAGCGGGTTCACATTTGCTACAAACACTTTCTGCTGTACTTACAATCTCGTCAGCTAACATCAAATGTAGAAATGAACATCCTGCTAATTATTGCAATATCAACACATCATCATTATGCAAATCATCTTTCCAATCCACAAATCTCCACTTGGACGCCAGCCAATTAACAATCCAAGTACAAGTCTTTTTAAACTCTCTCTTTTTCTTAGAGTAGGAGTAGGTTAGATAATTGCCGTTACAGATAAAAAAAAAAAAAAAGATACTCGTACTTAATTTTGATGCGTGACCATCTCATTAAAGATAAAAAGCAGAAGTCCATAAACTTGCTTAATTTCACTTCACGCTCTAAATTCATAACGTCAATTGATTTATTGTGGAAAATGAATAAACGACACGATAGATAAAAATGTGTTCAAGGAAAATATAGAGATTTAATGGTGGAAAATCCCTTTCCAAACAGGCAAAAATGCAGGGATTCTTGATATTTTCCATAGAATACAGACAAACAAAAAATGTCAATCTCAAAAGGATTTGTCACACATATGGTACCTAAAACTATTTACCAACTAACATGCTCTAGTATATTTTGCTGAGTTGTTGAAGAAATCTTCTAGGGGTATCTTGTCCTTTTGACAACTAAGTTAAAAGTGATTAGAAAGTGATAATGACGGATTCTGAATATTTTATTATTCAACAAGAAGAAAGGCTTTCCTTGAGTTAAGCGGATGATGACTGATCAGCTACCGGCTACATGTTTTTATCCTTTTCTTGCCCTTTATCTTTATCTTTATTTCACTCTTTTTGTCACTTTTTATTTATTTATTTTTAAGATCTACCTGAAAATTTAGCTGTAAAAACCAGACACCTAAAAATGATAAAAGACATCCACACTTTTTTTGCTCCTTAAAAATGCTCTGCTGTTAACCCTTCTATAAACCCTTTTCCTAACGTTCCCTCAATTCCACTCCTCTTCTAGATGTCATTCCGTCTGGGTTTTGGATCCAACGCTTTTCTTGGATCTTTCTCCATCCAGTCCCTATTCACTGATCTCGATTTCCCATGATAACCAGCCTAGATAGTCACCTGTTTGTTGCTGTGAGAAGGGGACGAAAACGCACCTATGGTCCAAAACTCTAAATCTGAAGGATTGTTTTCGGGTACTTTATTGCTTATTTGCATCCAAAGTCTTGAACTTTAGGTGAAAAATCTTTCTGGGTTTTGATCAGTTGAGAATTGTACCATGCCATCTAGATTCCTGGGCTTCTGTTACATGTGCTTTAAAAGTTAAAATCCGCAGTGAATTCAGTTTTTAGTATTACATTTAAGGCTAAAAATATAAGTTTTGGTTATGTTTGATTGAAGGAAGTCTGTTCTTTTTTGTGAATTAATTTGAAAAGGGCTGTTCTTGCCTTCTGGGAATTGGAGGTTTCTGGAAAGGGGAAAAGGGGAAATAGATTATCTTTGTTGTTTGGGAATGATTGATGGGTTCGGGTGGGTTCTTCATGATATGTATTCTGCATTCTTTGGTGGCCTTGAGCTGTGGAGGCGTGATGATGTTCCATAGTTACGAGTTCCTTGAATTCAGCCATGGGAGAGACCGTGCCAGTAAGCTCGCAGGATCAACCCCTCATGATCAGCTGTTAATCCGAACTTCGGATTCATTTTCAGGGTTGTTACTGTTTGCAATTGGTTTTCTCTTGCTCATGGTAGCTTTTGTAAAGGACAGGGACTTTCAGAGCTTTTTTGCTAGGGGGTGTGTGCTTCTCCATGTTGCAATGGCAATTTGGAGAATATACTTCGAGAGGAAGCTTGAAGTCCTTGGCCGCGATTGGCTTCGCCTGGTTGTTGGTGATATAGTATTGGGGCTTTCTTGGGTTTTTTTCCTTGTATATTCGTGGAGGGAGAAGTATGATTGATTTGAGTGGGAAGCTTACTTTGCCTGATCAGACACTGAAGATCATCATCAGAGAGGCGAGGCTGAATGGAATTTGCTTCCCAGCAGTGCAATCTTCTTGTTTCTGTCTCCTGTCTAGTGGATCTCGTGGATTTCTTTCACTATGTCTAGTCTAGTGCATCAGCACAAATTTGTCGATTTTGCTTTGTTTGTTGGTACAGTTTTCTTTTTTCCGATAAGAAATGGTAAATGTAATTTCCTTCTCTGAGATTGAGATTGTAATCTGTGTCTTTCCAGAACTCTGTTTGGTTTGCAATTCGCACTAGTCTCTTATTATGGTGTATATATGATGATATGAGTGCTTGGTTTGTGAGTTAGGACTCTCCCTTTGATTACTTTTCTTCAGTCCCCCATTCAGTTTCTGAATCAGTAATCAAAGTACAGCAGCTGCTCACTGGCAATTTTCAATGGCACGGCTACTGTAAACGATGAATTTTGCAAGTTGCTTTATTATAGCGGACTAATTGATCTGCTAGCAATCCTATGCTTACCGATCCCCGCAAAAACGGCTCAAGGTTGATTAGCTAATCGCTGATAGTGATAAGGCTGGCTGCCGCCTGGCAATATCATTAAGAACATATACGCGCACCTCTGACCTTTAGTTGAGTGTATGTTAAACGCATTTTTAATGAAGTGTGTGTTTGTATAGTGGTTTATTTGTCAAATTTAATTTGATTATATTATATTACAAACAAGTTTTTCAATAACTTTTGTTATCATCTTAATCATTTTCTTATTTCACGTGCGTTATATTTATCACATAAAAAAAAATCTCACATCCCTTGTATCCATCATATTAAAAAAAAAAGTGCTACGGTAATTTAAAAACGTTCTTGGTAACGAAGTTCTAGAGTGTTATTGGGAGATACCCAATAAAATAAAAAATTGTGAACTTTGTTTCTTTTTACCATCTCGATCTTTCATGAAGAGAAGGCACATTTTTCAGAAGTTAGAGTGCCAAATTAAACTAAAATAGTACTAGTACTTAATACTTTTGCAAGGACTTAATTGAGATATTCTAAACTTTTGGAGGGCTAGATTAATATTAGCCACGAGATTAATATTCTAAACTTGACTGCAAAGGCGAGCAGTCCTCTCCTTCCAGTATCAGAGCCCTCTTTTCAACACTTAAACAGAAGTCTTGTAGCCTTTACGCTCTTTCAACGCTAAAACAGAAGGAGAGGGAATCAAAAAATTGGAAGCAAGACCAGAGGTATGTCCTTTTAGTTACTTACTTACTTTTGGTCTATTTCACGTATTTGATGATAGATCAAGATTGCTTCTTTTTTGTATGCAAAGGTAAATCTTAATAGCGTAATAACTTTCGTGCACATGCTTTTGTGGGGTTTTTCCGTTCCTCATAATCGACTGAGTAAATTGCAGAGACGGGATATTTGCCTTACTTGTGTAGGATTAACACAATTATTCACGAAAAGGCGAAAACTTGATTGTATTTAATAAAAAATTGTCCTTTTTTTGTGCCCCTTTTGGCGGTGGGGAGGCGGGGGAGGAACTCTGTAGATTTCGCATCTTCTTTTCTGTCCATTAATCAATTATGATGTATGTGTACGTCTCTTTCATACTGATTTTGGCGGATATAGAACTCTGGTAATCATAGGAAATGCAAAAATGCTTGCTTTGCATTTTAAATTGTTTTGCGTTTTGGATTGTGGGAGTTAATTGTGTTAAGGATTGGTGTATGCTAAATTTGTAGAGAAACCTGACAACTCGAAAATTGGTATGGTGAGCTGACTCTTTTTTTTTTTTTGCGTATCCTTATCTGCCAAAATGGTTTGATGCTTTTATCTCCCCCACTCTCCTCTCAATACCTAATTGCTGACTTAGCATTGAATCCAAGAGGAGTGAGGACCAATAGCGTGCTAGAGTCCTTTGATTCTTTAGCTGTTTTGTGTTTCATCAAGGAGAAACTAAATAAGTAATCTTTCTGCTAGCGTGATCTTATGCAATTGTGTAAGTGAGAATCTCATGTCTAAAGTGACTTATAACTATTTATATCATTGCTGTGCAGCGATACTATAATTTGGATGGGTTCTTGTTGGAGCTCGTTCACATGAATGTGTCAAATCCTTTCAACTCATTCACTTGACCTGAAAGTTCTCCTCTGACAGTTTTGTTGATAATTGACTTGCATAGCAACCTTTTGTTTGAAGATCCCTTATTGTTTTGAAAACAATTAATTTCAAATTAGAATAGAAGAAAGTTGGCATTGGCAGTAGAATAAAATTTCCTTATAAGGTATCTCTTTTTATAAAACTGAACGAGAATCGTGATGATTCAAGTTGCTTAAGGTTTCAAGAAATGTTCATATGTTTAGGCTTCCTTTTCAAGTTGCCAACTTTTGCTTTTATTGATTTCTTTTTTCTTATCTCTGATATGTATTTCATTCAAGTTGTGCTTCTTGTGCATATTGTTGTTCTTAAATATTATTGAAGAGGGTAACTATTATATACTAATTTGCATTCAGTGTGGAGTTGATTTGTAATGGTTCAAACTGAGATGACCTTGGTTTTCTGTTCTAGAAGAGAGTTTTAAGTTCAATTCATGGAAGTCTTGATACTCATGTTCTTTTGGAGAAGGAATTAAGGTGAATCTGGATTCTATATCTTTTGGGTTGCCGAACATGGAAAATTGCAAAATCTAAGGATTGACTAGAATTGTCCTTTTGATTTTTGGGAGGTTGACTGGCTCCCCCAGCTCACTTGTGAACTTGTGAGTTGTGACGTTATATATCAAATTTAAGGAACATTAACCATATGGTGTAAGCTAAATCCCGTCACTTTACTCCCATAATTTAGGTATTTAAGTGACAACAAAATCTACGAGGTTGTAAAACAAATCCACCTAATGATAGGTAAAATGAAACTAGGACCTAGAGGTGTTTGCAATATGATCAATTGAGCATAAAGCTTCAGTTGATAGAGAAACTACAACAGATTTGCTTTAGATTTAAATTCTAGGTGGCAAAGAGTCAAAGACATTCACATCTGGAGTACAAATTAAAATTGAAGAATATAGTTCGGTGCCAGACATTCACGGGCTGAGCTACTCTTTTCTTGGGCCAACCTAAAAGTATATACTACTCATATACCTGGTAAAGCTAACAATAGGGATTCTTTCAAGAAAATATGAAAACATAACTTTGAAGGAGACTTGTAGTACATAGGTAAATTCAATTTTTTTGCTTGAAGTCTCTGATTATTTCCAGTCATATATGCGTTGTTTTCTTTTTTATTCTTCAATTTTGATGAAGATTCTTTTACGAGGAATATACTGCCTGCCAGAATAGTGTATTAAACTTTATGTTGATTTTGTGCAGTTATATGGATGCATTTAGCTTTCTGTTTGTAATTAGACTGTACATTGAGTCTGCATCATAGCATGTTTCTCTGATAGCTGTGCATATGATTGTCGTTATTGCATGTTTATTCTTTGTTTATTCCAACTTGGAGCTTTGAATCTTATAGTTTTGAACCCTTTTTTTTTTACAGGGAGTTCATATAATGGGTGGATTGCCTGCACAGAACTCTTCATCTGTTATCTCCTTGAATGTACACAAAGATCAAAGTCCAGGTTCCGTAGGACCAGGGCCGGATTCAAAGCCGCGGAAGAAGATATGCTGTGCTTGCCCCGAGACAAAGAAACTAAGAGATGAATGTGTTGTGGAGCATGGCGAAGCTGCTTGTGGAAAATGGATCGAGGCTCATCGTAAATGCCTCCGCGCGGAAGGCTTCAATGTTTAAAAAGTATTACCGTGGTCGATTGGATACACGAATTGCATTATGCTGTGGAAATTGATAGAATTTTTGTTTCTATTGTTTTAGGCTGCACCAGGTGCTCATACACTGGATTTTTGTCTGGTATAGTAATGTTACAGATTAACTGAGAGATAACTGAAATGCAGCATGTGCTCATTCCCACATAAAGGGTTCCTGATGAAAGACAGGGTACATACTCGGTCCTGGTAGAAAGTGTACGGGAGGAATGCTAAAGCATATCTATCAGGGAATAAAAGTTTCAGAATTCTAATTGTGCCCCCTTTTTTGTTTCTTGGTTATCCTCCTGCAAGTGCATTTGTTATTGTTTTGTACAGGTCGTGCATTTACTGATGCTAGTCCTGGCCTCTGATTTCTTTGAAGGGCTATCCGTCCTCATGTTATTGTTGTGATTGCCTCTCTTGTGAATGCAAAGTAGCCTCCAAGTTGAAGCTTTCTGAAATTAGATGCTGCTAGATTAGCTTTACTAGTTGTTGTCTTATAATAGACAAAATTTTTATAAAAAAAAAATATATATATATTTAAATTGGTGACTGTACTGGCTTTAAAGTGTGAAGATCCGCCAGTTTATTTTTATTTCTTGCCCTGGGAGTCAGAGGGATTCTGGTCTGGACGGTTGTTTGGGCCCAACTAATGAATTTGGGTAACAACTGAGAATGTCTCAGGCAAGGGATCCCAAAATGAAGGAGAGGTCTATAAGAGACTGGGGGAGGGTCTACTCGACATTGCAGTGGGCTAGTAGTCATAGTGGCTAGTGCTTGAGCTGGGCCTTCTTTGTGGATGGGCTGAGGGGCCTGGCTTTAGAAAGTTGCAATAAATACTCCTATTTGTTTCAAAATAAGGAAATTAAAAAAATTGAGTCCTAAATAAAGTTGAAAACCTGAAATGGATGGTAGATGATGAATGTACTCTAATTCACAGATTTAACCTCCAATTGATACCTTTTTTTTTTCTTTTGGACGTTTAATTAATTAATTTATTTATTTTTTTCGTTTGGAAGAATATGGAGGAAGGTCTAGCATTATTAGTAAAGTTCCAAGTCCTATTAATTGGGTTAAGTGGCAATTTGTGTGATTTATACTTTTTTGCTTCAATTTGCGAATGTCCTTGACATAATATATATATATATATATATATATATATATATATATATATATGCATTCCAGAAAGTGATTTAGCTGAACGAACTTTGCAGACCATATAATAGGATGAATGTGATTTTCTTGTATTGATTAGTCACGTCTTTGCGTGGCAAAAGATAAAGGCGTGGACGCAAAAGGCTTCTCATCTCATCTCGATCCGCGGTTGATGCCGAGTACAGAAGATTCAACACTAGTCCTATTATTATTATCATGGAGTGACAAATTCAAGAGTACTAAAACATTTTATTATTATTGTTATTATAATCACTTCATTACACGATGAGGAAGGAAACACACAAACATAAACAGTGATTTGACAGTGTCTGTCAAATCACTCGACCATCAAAACAAAAGACAAACCTCACAACACAAATTATTGACCATCATCACATACTAATTTAGAGAACCTCACAACATATCATAGTTTTGTATGAATCAGGCACTCATATCATACTTATATGTGGGTGAGAGCCGCGTCAATTGTCACAGGTGCAGTTGACACAGGCGCAGCTTGGACCGCACTTGCACTTGCCATTTTGCGCACCTCCTTCCATCATCACGAAGGTCTCCACAAAGCTGCAAAAGTAAACATGAAATAAAATAATAAAAAAAAAAAAAAAGGTCCGGCCATGAATTTTTAAGTGAATAAAAAAGACAAAATACTCGAATTCTTCGTTTCTTTTGGTATAAGTGGGAGGCTGTTGGAGTTCTCCTAAGATTAGGTTTACCTGTCAGTCTTTTCGTTTCTCGAAAGAAGGAGGGAGGGTTCCTCCGTCCTTCCCTCCTCCGAACCATTCAACCTATCTATCCCCAAATACTCAACTTTATTAACTAGAAAGAAGTAAGTAAGACACGTACGTGTTCTCGGTCTCAACAATGTCAGCAGCATAGCTGCTTCCTTTCTTCCTGCAATTCAGTAACCATATTTGCTTAGCTTGATATGTACGCATGCACAAAACAAAGGATGCTCGCGGAACTGGGGAAAAAGAAAGTACTCGCATGACATTTTGAGTTCATCCTGTATGCACACACTAAAATTGGTTTACTATAGTTTCGACACAGTAAAGATTACACTTGCTCGTGTAAAGAAATTCTTAAATTCACAGTTCATGTGAGATAAATCCATGTCTAGACATATTCATGGAGATTAATCGTACGTATCATGGGATCATGGTGTGAAAAATCATGCGGCTATGAGTATGGAGGCATATAAACTTTAAAAAGATATATAAGAGGGAGAAACACTTACACGCACTGGCTCTTGTCAGCGCAGTCGCAGTTTCCGCACTTGTCCGACATGGTGAGAAAGAAGTTAATACAAGTGATAATAAAAGCAAAGAAGTTATGTAAGTAGATGAGGGTTTGTTGCAGCTGTGGTAAATTGCTGTGTATCCAAGCTCAATGCTTGGGGCAGTATTTATAGATGGTGAGATGCCATGGAGCAATGGAGAGGAAATGGGCATCGTCCTATCAAAGGGTGGGGACAGCGCGGCCCAATGAAACGCGAGAGGAGCACACGCCTCTGAGTAAAAGTCGAAAGGAATCTTGATCATGGAGGCTCGCCCTCCTATCCTCCTCTCGTGTCAACTTCACGTCCCTGTTACCAAGAAAGACTCGATGGATGGCGGTGTTTTCTGCGCTTCATATTGCCCCTTTTGTTTTTAAAGGTTAATAATATATATTCCAATCCGATTGTACGCATTCAATCTTTGCCACTCCATTTATCTTTAGCAAAACTCAAAAGATATATGGCTATATATTATACCAAGAAGTCACTCGCACGGCAGGAGATCCCTGCTTGGGATAGATGCTCATGCATGTTGGACGTCCATAACATTTGAACTTTTAAACACGGCCAGTACATTTTTCATCTCTTGAGTCATCTCAAAATACCATAAACAAAACGAAAAAGAAAAAAAAAAAAGAATTTTTCAGATTTAGCAACATAAATTGGACAGTCTAGTTTGGTCCATGAACATCGAAAGAAGCTCAGGGAGGTTTCTTTGAACATCGACGCGTGGAAGATTCTAAAATATTCTTTTCTTCCCTTGGATTATAATTTTTTAGATAAGGGAGATGATCACAGGCTTCTTTCACGGGTTGTGGGGCAATTGCTTCTCATTATAGCCAACCCTTTTTCGAGTCGTTTTGTCAAACAAATCATGGCCTTATAAATATATCCTCCATCTTTTTATCTGAAGGAAGGCGACTCGAGTCATGGCTGTCATCTTCATGAGCTTGCCTTCATGTCACCTCCAGCCTCCGCTCCCTCCTTCAGACGGGTCCATATCATTGCCTGGTTTGATTGACAAAAAAAAAAAAAATCTGAATAACCATAAATTTTTAACATGGCTCGGAAAAAGGGCACTTCAACAGAAAAACGAAGCGTCGAGGAGATTTTCAAGAGCCAAATGCTTTGATCTAACACAGGAGTTGTATGAATATTTCTGGTTAGCAATTGTAAAGCCACGGCAGTAAATTTTAAGAGAATCAAGAAACGGGCCTGGTGAAGGTGAGCGGTTCAGTTTATTTGGACAACTTTTTTAAAATTGATAGGTACAACTCGTGGAATGGAAGTCAGTGTCTTATCAACACTAGACTTCACAAGTGGAAGACTTTTGATGAGAGATTGTGGGCAGATCGAAAGAGTCATGCAGCATAATTAATTAAACATACGGAACAAAACATACACTTGACTGATAGGGAGAACCTTCTTCTTTCGAGAAACGAAATTTGACTAACTAAACCTAATCCCAAAAGTCAACCCAAAAGCCGACAACTCTTGGATTGCTCTCAGGGACTTAACTACCCAAATCCCAACCCCCCCCAAAGCCGACGTGGGATAGAAACCCCGACAGGGGCCAAGCCCACAAGACCCGCTGCTACTAAGCGGTGAAGACCCCTCACAAGCCCAGAGAATGACGACCCAAGCAGAGTTTCTTTCGAGCTGACGCAGGCAGAAGACTACCATTGTTTTTTTCTTCTTTCGAGAAATGAAATTTGACTAACTAAACATAATCCCGCTGATAGGGAGAACCACCAATTGCCTTTGCTGTTCACGAATCGAGCCACTCGCGATCGGTCAATATCGAACTCGAATCGAATTCGAGCTAATCAAGTCGATCTCGAACTCGAGCTTGAGGTAAAAAACATTAGGCTCGTTGGCTGTTCACGAATCGAGCCACTCGCGATCGGTCAATATCGAACTCGAATCGAGTTCGAGCTAATCAAGTCGATCTCGAACTCGAGCTTGAGGTCAAAAACATTAGACTCGTTGGCTAGCGAGCTCAATTATATATATATATATATTTTGATAGTAAAAATATATATATATTCTTAATATTTTATTATTTGTTAAAAAATTATTATTTTATTTATATTTTAAAATAAAATAATTATTTTTTATTTTTTTATTTTTTAAGTTCGAGCTTGACATTTTGAGCTCGTCAAGCTCGATGAAATTAACTGGATGCTCGGCTCGATAAGGACAAAACTCAACTCGACTCAGTTCATTTACACCTCTACTTTCTTCGACATTAGCTAACGGACCTTAAGAGTGGAAAATTGAGGAACTTTTTTTTTTAATAATTTCTTTGCAAATCTACGGGATGAAAGCCACATTTCTTGTCATTCTTTGACTCTTAAAATAGTCGACTACATGTTAATTTCCATTTCATGTCCGTTCAAAAGATTAATTTCCGATTACGGGAAAAGTTCAGTAGTTAAACTTCCAGACCTCATTATCTCTCCCAGTAAAGATTTGTCAAGAAAGAAAGCTACGCGATGGCAAATTAGACATTTAAACCATTTTGAGAATCAAAAGCAAAGCCTATATAGCCATATAAAATAACATATAACAAAGCATACTTCTACAATCGGTAATAAGAATTTGTGTTTAATAACCCAGCCACAACCCTATTGTCTAACAAAAGCCTCGTCAAAATCCCATTCCCCGTAAATGAAATGGTATTAACTCAATATAATCATACAAAAATCAGGTTTCATGTAAACTGGAGCAAACATCATGTCTAATATACTACCAAGTCTTTATCCTGATATTGAACTACATCTTGTAGACAATTCAAGAAATGATTAATCTTGATCTTCTGCCGGCCAGAGTAAATAGCTTCCGCTTCTCCTCCTTGCTCGCCTTGAGCCGCCATCTCAACTACCATGTAGAGCATCTTGATCGGCATCTGTAGAGTCGCAGAATAATGAAAAGTTATATACATGTCCATTAAAGAGTTATATACACACACACACACATGTATATAAGGTGTTTTCTTATTATTTATTGTTT